CTTGTTAGCGCAGCTCCTTTGAGGCTGAAATATAGGACTCATATATACTATCTAGCCTAATTAAACTAATACATAACATATAAAGTGATAAATCTCTCGTAGATTATAGGTGCTTGCAGGATAATTGATATTCAGAGTAATGACTTCTCTAATTTCTGCATTTCGAAAAGAATTTTCATTTTTTAAAATTCTTTTTTTCTTAATTTAACATTCTTATTATTATAATCATTAAATTAATTGATAAATATGTCTGTTTTACATATTGATGATATTTACAGCAGGTCTCAAGCACTATTATTTATGTTAGTCAATTCACAAGTAGTAATATTTATTATTTTTCAAAATTATAACTTGATCAATTTTGCAACAAAATCTAAAAAATGTGACGCCTGTTATTCTTCATTGCTACGGTCTGTAATGGAGAGGGGTTTAGCAGGAGTGGGAGCCACGAAGACTCGCTCTTAAAATTACACTCACCATTTTCTTCGAAAAAAATGTGAGTTCCACAAAACTGACTCAGCAGTCAATATATTCACTACAGTAATGTAGTTTTTCTCTCTCGAGCCATTTAAAGTAAACAAATATATCGTTCACTTTTTATTTTTTATCTCTCTTATGTTCTTTCTTGAACGAAGCAGCATCGACATGGCTCTTCTCTTAACTCTTACTCACACTCACATTCCACCCAATAAATCTAGATCAGCAACAAAAACCCGTTAGCGTCAATGATGATACACTGCGATGCTAAGCCAAGATTAAGATACGCTTTCTGGTTTAATTGGGTTAGGACATTTGCCCGAATAGCAGGAGATGTGGCCTTGAATCCCACGAAGGTCGTCTTTTCCCTCATTCTCTTCGTTCACTGCATTTCCAATCGTATGGATCATATATGATGCTTACAATCCCGTGCCGCTATTCGACTACGCACAGCAGAGTAATGATATGAGCGATTCCGTTCCACTACGAACTGGATAACCTATGAAGGTAAAAACTTTATGAGTCGAAAATTTCCGCTTTCATAATTCCATACCCTGACTATATATGATCCGAATTCGATTGAAACTGACTGTGCTATTGTAGAACTAAAACAATTTTATTGTGAGTATCGATGTACGTTAAAGTCCCTAAATCACACTGTATTAGTTATTATTCGTTGAAGGATACGCAAATGAACTTCATAGATGCTCGAAAACTTTGATCGATAGTTATTGATGCCTGTCTAAAATTCTCAGGGATACATGTTTTACTATAAACAAATGAAGGTATACAGAATATGAAGATATTGTAATAGATATGGATATCTGAATACGCAGCATATTGGCTTCATATTTCTGATAAATTACTAGCATTGATTCGAGTACTGTTACTCTGAAATAGAACAATAAAAACAAAAATTCTCGTTACAAGTATATCATGGAAAGCAAGATTGAAACTTAAACATAGAGTATATTTCAATTTGAACGCAATTTTTCGTTCTTTTAAATATTTAAAAACCACGCTAAAATGAAGTTTGGCTTCTATAGAAGAATCAACTGATATTCGTCTATCTACTCAAAAACTATGAGAAGTTTTTGACAACTTTGTAGATTCGGATGAATGGTTGAAAAAGAGATATCAAGTCTCGTTTTCGTCTGGTGTAGCTGTGGCTATGAGGATCTGGGTGCTGGTGTATGTTGAGCCAAGACTAACATCCACACCCATGGTTGTGCTTTTGGATGTCTGAGTGTGACTGTAGGATCGGTGTCGAGTTGCGATTACGAGTGTTCCCTTCACTGTCATCAACAGTGAAGCCGTCACTCCTACGCCTACATACATTCAGATGTCCCTGATACACAGATTCTTGATTTCTTCTTTTCTGATTGATTCCTTACCTGTTGTCGCATTTTAGACTTGAGTGTATATAGCCATTGAATTGAAATATTATAAAAGTGAAAAATCGCCGAAAATGCAGCAGAAGTCGTCTCCTTACATATATTACTTTATCATTGAAGAAGCGAGCTTGAAGAAAGCAACGATAAAATTTATTACTGACGGAAGAGATATGCCAATAAAATATTATTATCTTATCTTTATAGTTAGGCTTTTTTTACAGATGTTTTTGCAGTTAAAGGAAAGGTATGTTTAATCAGCAAAGCTTAAAACACGCTGAGAAAAAAGCAAAAACAGTAGATTCTCTGGAAATTCGATGATTGGCTTCAAGAATTACCTGGTTTTTTTTTCTGGGTGTCGGTGCGAGTGTATGGCATGTGTCGAATGTGAATTTGGGTGTATAGGATGTGGTGGGTATGAATTTGGCTATGACGGCGGGGTGTAGAGTGGTTGTGAATATAGAGTGTGAGCGTGGGTGTAGGAGTATGAGTGGATCAGTTGTTTAGGCACATCTACATCCACTAATATTCACACCCACACCCACCCACCCACACCCTCAATTTTGTCATGTTTTATTTCGTGAAAGCTTTTCAGTTTACAACATAGAGGTTTGTCATCACGTTGAGAACTTCCAGACTATTGTGAATCACAATCATGAAACCGAAACACTAGAATCAAGAACTCCTATATGGATCATACTGTGGACGAAAGCATAATTATTGTGGTAAGCAAAGTGAGATCGTATTGAATGCAAAAAAAAGAAAGAAAGAAAAGGAGAAAGACAGAAAGTATATATTCGCAAAGATGTACGACTGACATCGTATATGCGATCCGTGAACGATGATGAAAGAAAGAAAATGGTGGCTATGGATCTATTTTTGAAGGAATAAACGAAACGACTAGGGACGTAATAAACATGGTACTGTTACAACAAAACAAGGAGAAATATTTACCTATTAATGCTATCTTCAGATCACAAGTCACCCAGCAAAGAATGCCATAATTCGTAGATCATAGAAATGCTGTTGTTTCCAGCGATCTCTAATTGTCCAAATAATCGAATTGAAATCTTACTAGTGATCATTAAAAAAGAAGAACTTGGAAAGGGGGAAACGTGAATTGTACCCCAAAATTGATCGGCGGCGGCTAACATGTCTATTCATAAGAGAATTTGATTTTTTTATCTTCTTTATCAGTTGATCAAGAATTCTTCTTTCATACATTTTCACACTCATATTGATTCAGTTTTGAACCTCTCTTAAAAGACAAATATTATTATTCAGTGGCGGCGCACCAGCACTACAAGGGGAAGCAATTGCTTCCCCTAGTTTTCCACACTTCTAATTATAAAAAAATAAAATTACTGTAAACACAACCCAACAGACATATTTAATATGACTTTGCAGTCGCAGCAGGAAGATTGTCCCATAGTCTCATGAATTTATTTCTTGCCATATATGTCTGACATATGACTATTCAAGGACTTAGAGCATATTAAAAGTAGTGGTGTCATTATCTTATTTTCTTATAGAAAGCTAGAAGAGATTTTCTTTTTGTATGTAGTGATCTAGGAAACAATGCTCTATCTTTCTGTGCTATTTAATCATTCTTCAACTAATATCATAATAATAAAATTTTCATAAGGCTCGATTAACTATGAATTCAAATCAAAATATAAAAATAAATGAATAAGTCTCATTGTAGTTACATAATGACAATTAATCTGTCACTGTTTTTATAGCATTTGTAGTCTGTTGAATAATTTTCTCTTCTTGATCTTCATTTTTTTTTCGATATGTTTTTCATAGTTGTATTGAATTCTTTTTCAACATTTGATGTTGCTAAAATGTTTTACATCTATTAAAATAAACTTTCTCATTTTCACTTGTCTTTTTCATCAATTGAATCTTTTGACATAATTAAATCTTGTTGACCAGAAGTGGATTGGAGTGTCATTTTGCAAAGTCTTGTTTTGTTTTGTTTTTATTCCTTATTCAATGCTTCTATCTAAATAAATTTTAAGGTCATCATTGCACAATCAGATAAAAAGACATCTGAATGCAATATGCTCTATGTTACAGGTAAAGGTAATAATGTCGATTTCTTTATTTACTCTTCTATTAGTTACTCAATTCTACTACAAAAGATGTGATATTAGTATATATCAAGAATTGTAATTACTTTTGAATAGTGTTCATTTTTGAGCATAGACAAATGATATATATTAATTATTTTCTATTTCATTTTTTTATACAATCTTGTTTCAATATAAATTTAGGAGAGTGAGCAGTAGGGAAAAGATATGAAAATAAAGAGATAACTGCTTCAAAAAGCATGTTTTTTTTTATATTTATTTCAAACAGAAATAAAAGGATTCAAGCTTTCATGTTACATTCAGTGACACATCATCAGGAAACATTATGAAATATATTAACAAAGATATTACAAAAATATGAAAATGTTCATTTTGGGATGTATGGATTAAATTAACGTGATGTGACGATGAAGAACCATATTAAGGCAATAAACATTTTTCTTTTTTATTTAAGTACATGTCCGCATCAGTTCTAGAGGATGCATATTCAATACACCATAAGAATATGTATATGAATGTAAGTGTAGGACCACAATACAAATACTAATTAAATTATGACGATATATGTATAAATATATAAGTAAAACCAAAATTATAAATGCTAAATAATTTATAGTTTGTATAAATATAAGAACAAGACATAGATAATAAATATTAAATAAACATTAAATATTTGTATGAATATATCTTTGTGACAAGTATGATAAATGCTCAGTGTTATGCTTGTTGTTTACACTTAAGAAATAAGGACATCGAGTTCATTTTACTTAAGCATAACTGACTAGTTTTTTTTTATTATCACCTTTTTAACAACAAGACTAACAAAAGAAAAAGAAGCAATCACACACACGAAAGAAATATAAAATATAGATGGCAGGATATAACACCCTTATCCCCTAGAGAAAAAAGTTTTTTGTTCACCAAAAACTTTTTTACTATTTCAAAAAAAAGGAAATAAACAACAGTAGAAAAAGAAAGGGAAAAAACTTAACGAAAATATAACTGTATCAGATCGTACAAACACATGTTCAGAATATCACATCTCGGAATCTAAATCAGAAGTTTTCTTTTCTTTCTTCAGTATAGTAAAACTGGATTTTCGTTCAGTTTTAACAATATCATATGATGATGCGGGAATTTGATTTGAATATGATGAATATTCTGCTGGTGTACATGAAATATCTTTATCATTTAATGATATTGGACTTATTGGTGAATATGATTGTTTATTATTGTCGTGTTGTTGAGTCTGTCTACTCATATTAGCTAATAATGTTGAATATGTATTATCATTAATTGAATGTATTAATGTTGATAAATGATGTTCATGTGTTGGAATAGATTGTAAAATAAGATTTAATTTTTCATTCTCATAATTATATTCAGCTATTTCTTTTTCAAGTGTTGCAACTTTTGAACGTAATTCTTTATGTTTACTTGATATATCATTAGCATATGTTATTAATTGTACAGGTCGTTCTAATTGTTCAATACCTAATCCATCTGTACGTAATTTAAGTAAATTAATTATATCTTCTAATAAAATTTTAATATTATTTTCTAAACAATTAACTTTTGTTTTTAAAATTTTATTTAATTCCATTGCATTATCTAATTAAGTTTTAAAATGTTCACGATATGTATTTGATTTCATATATGTAAAATATTTAAAGAGACGTTGTCGAAATTGATCTAAATCTATATTAATTGAATTTAAAAATTGTTGATCTTCTTTTCCTAATAAACAATCACGAAAATGACAAATATTAAGATTATCATTTGATAATTTTGTCATATCACGATAATTAAAACGTTGATTTTTATTTGTTTGATAATATATTTCATTTGTTGGATGTAATTCATTTAATGTTGATTGATAATTTTTGATAATGTACGTTGACGTTTATTGATTCATCCTTTGATAACCCAGATTCATATTCTGAATGATTTTTACCTGGAAGAACTTTTATATAAAAATTTGTTTTTTATTTTTTTATTTTTTATTGTTATTTTTCATTTTTATTTTGTTCGTCGTTGTTGTCGATGACGTTGATAATTTCTTCCATCAAATAAATCTTCTGGTATTTGTCGTTCGTATTGTTTCTTGATCAACTTGTTCTTCAGACCAACAACTAAACATCCTTCTTGTCTCTTAACGTGTACATAATCGATATTGTATTCATCTAATACCATTCTCACCAATGGCAATGAATATTTAAAATATAATGGTTGAGTAACATAATATCGATAACGATGTAGACGGAGTTTCTTAGTTCTTTTTTTGTTTTTTCGTTTTCTTGCTGCTTGTGAACGTTCACGATGTGGTCTATTTTTCCTTCTTGTTGGATTTTCTTTAAGATCTTCATTTGGTGGTGTAATTTCTTCATTATCATTGTATTCTTCAAGTTGATTTCCAGCATTAATAATTAATTCAATATCATTTAATTCTTGTTCAATTGGTTCAGGTTCTCGTTGTTGTTGTTGTATTGGTTCAGTTGGTTCATCATTATTGATGACTGGCGTATAATCAACATCAATTGGTTCAATTTGATCTTGTAATAAATCAATTTCATTATTATTATTATTATAATCTTGTTCATTTTTAAAATCATTTGGTTCAATTAATTGGTTCAGGTAAATTTCTCCATCTGATGATATTGACTCCAAATCTGTTTCCTTGTTGTTAATTAATTTTAAAAATTTGTGTAAATTGATGTTCTTGATTTTTTTCTTCTTTGTTGTTGATGTTGGTAATGGTGGAAGCTTGGTTGATTTAAATGCGACGAATATTTCACTGATCTTCCTATTTTTAATTTCTTCAAAAGTCCAATTTTCAGTGATTGGTCATATTAAAAATGTAACAGCCATAACATCGTGTGTTGCATAATGTATCATCTTCTTTTGTTCAGCATATGATAATGATGAATAACTTGATGATAAACTTGATGACCAATGGCTTAATGAGCACGATTTATCTAAAAATAAATTACATCCATACCTAAATGCATTTTGAAGAGACCAGAGTTCATTAATTTTGTATGGTGATGGTGGATGACAATGACGTGATAATTGTTGTTGATGTTGTTGTAAACTTTTATCATCATTGTTCATATCATTTCGATATGACAGGCTCTGGACCCCACACTGGGTCCGTGCCCAATTATACCACATTGAATAATATGGTTGAATATCAATTAATGTTGCAGGAATTGGCCAGATAAATAATCCTTTTGCTGGTTCGAGTTCTTTTTGCATGCTTCCCCAGGAATAGATTTCATTACCTGACCTAAAAATTAAATCAAACAATTGATGAATATTTTCATACTTTTGTGAATGCTGATCTGGTAAGTGGTTCAACTCGAATAACATTACAAATGATGGTGGTTCAATTGGTATTGAATTAATTTGTATTAATGATAATTGATTGTTCGTTCGTTCAGACTCTGTGTCTACCGAATATTGTCTGCATGTATTCACGTGGTCCAATAATTTGTTCATCATGTTTGTTGATGTGTTATTGTTCACGAATATAACTTCATAATCTGACGAATGAACATGAAATGTTGGATATTGTGAACTATGTGTACGAGATGATGAACGATACAAATGTGATGATGAATATTGATGACGTGAACGAGATGGTGAACGATGTGATGGTGAATGATAAGAACGAGATGATGAACAATTTGATTTAGACATGAAGATAATTTAAGATAAATAAATGAATAATAGATAAATGAATAATAAATAAATAATAAATAAAATAAAGAATATTCATTTGAAGACGATATTGACCAATAGCCATTGGTCATCCATTATTGAACACAATCCTCTTGTTATCAAATATCGATCATAGATATCGTTAACATAAGGACGAATTTATCACCTAATATGATTGGTTTTGTTCAGAAACAATCCTTTAAAGAAAGTTTCCATTGATGACTCATCATCATTTTCATTCTTGTAATTGTAAATATTATCATTATTAATTTCCGTTTGGATTTGATAATAAAATTGATTTTTTAATGCGCGCATATTAAAATATCAATTAATCCAATTCATAGATGATAAATGTTATTCCATATTAACCGTTGCGCATACGTTTAATTTGGTTTAACATAAACATCATAAACATAATCCATTTCCAAAATCAATAAGAAATATTTATCAATAAATAAATAATATTAATAATAATAAAAATACTAATAAAAAATATTGATAAGGAGTTTGATAAAAATATTGAGGAGTTTAATGTTGTTGATTTTTGTTTTATTTTTAATTTTTTTTTTTTTATTAATTTAATTTTGAAACATAAATGGGTCTAATATCATTTATGTGCACTTGTGTTTCAATTTGAGTTATTTCATCTCGAACAACGTAAACAGGATGTTGTGCACGAATAATAATTTGTGGTGTAATTGAAAATTTTGGTTCTAATTTATTTTTTATTCCATGTCTTCTAATTAAAACACGATCATTAATTGCATAATGAGGATCAGGACGTCGTTTATCATATTGAGTTTTGTATTGATGTTGTTTACGAATAATATTTCCACGAGCATATCCATGTATCAATTTCATACTTTTCTTTAATTGCTCATAATAATCATTTGGTTTACGAAATGTAAATGAATATATTTGTCCATCAGTAGGTAATCTTGGTTCTCTGCCAAATAGTAATTGAAATGGTGAATAATTTGTTGTTGAGTGCGTTCCTGTATTGTATGCAAATACTACAGGTAATAAAAATTCATCCCAATTGTTGTTTTCTTTATCTTGAAGTTTGGCAATTTGTGGTACAAATGTTGCGTTGAACCTTTCTATCATTCCATTTGATTGAGGATGGTATGTGGTTGAATATATGTGATTATATCCAACTAATTTTGACATGGCTTCCATTAATTGATTGTGGAAGTGCGTCCCTTGATCGGATAATATAACTGCCGGTACCCCATACTTGCAAATGTATTCATTAAATAATGCTTCAGCGGTAGTCTGAGCTGAGCAATCAGGTACAGCAGCAGCAACCACCCATCTTGTGAAGTAATCCGTAAGACATAATACATATTGATTACCACGTGGAGTTTGTTTAAATGGACCACAATAATCCATACCGATTAATTGAAATGGTCCTTCCGGTGGTGGAATTGGTTGTAATCGACCAGGTTTCTTTGACCTACTGATATTATATTGCTGGCACGGTAAACATGATTGTATGTATTGAGTAATGGATTGTTTCATATTTGGCCACCAATACTTATTTTTAATCTTCAAATATGTTCGTTGAACTCCAAAATGACCACTAAGAGGATCACTATGATAAACTTGTAAAAGATCATTAATCAAAGATGAAGGCAAATAAATTAATTTTTTCTTCGTATTACAACCTTCACGCATAATCATTAACTTATA